TCTGCCAAGACAGGAACCATTTCACCAGAGAGATCCCAAGTTGTTGCCACTCACTCCAGATGATGATATTGAGCATTTTCTCACTACTTTTGAGAGAATGGCTCAAGTTTGCCGTTGGCCGAGAGAAGAATGGGCTGTTCGACTCGTACCTCTGCTCACTGGAAAAGCACGTAGTGCTTATGTGCATATGGACATTGCTGATTCAGAAGTCTATGATAAAGTAAAAGATGCCATTCTTGCTAAATACGAAATAACTGCTGACACATACAGAAGAAGGTTTCGAGCCCTGGATATGCACCCAGGTGAAACTCCAAGAGAACTTTATGTGCGATTAAAAGATATGTTTTACAAATGGGCGAAACCTGAAAAATCTACAGTGAAAGACATTTCTGAACTGATGATCTTGGAGCAGTTTCTGAGGATGGTCCACCCAGATCTGGAGGTGTGGATCAGGGAACGTGCCCCCAAATCTGCAGAGGAGGCTTCACAGCTAGCGGAAATCTTCATCTCTGCCAGAACAGGATCGAGAGGAACCACCTTTGGCCAGGACAGCTTCATGACTGGACAAAGTAAGTCTGATGGGGGTGTAAGGAGTGGTGGTATAGGCCAGAGTAGAAGTTATCCTGGAAGCAGACATTTTGTTTCTGGTAAAAGTAACAACACTAAAAAGTCACATTCAGGTTCAAAATCAGATGTTAGATGTTATCACTGTAACCAGATAGGCCACACTCAGTATACCTGCCCAGCAACAACACAAAGTAGGCCATCCCTTTTGTGCTCAGCCCCCAGACCCACATTGCCAGGTCCTGATCATGAAGCAGTAAGAACAACACCTGTACTTGTTAATGGTCAGCGTGAAGAAGCACTCTTAGATACAGGGAGCTTTCAGTCAGTGGTTTTGGCTAGTTTAGTACCAAGAGAGCTATGGAGTGACACAAGGACTAAAATAAGCTGTGTACATGGTGATGAGAAGGATTATCCCATGGCTGAGGTGTATTTGACTGTAGGTGGCCAGACATTTCTCCTGCCAGTGGCTTTAGCACCCAGACTACCATATGCAGTGATATTGGGCTTAGATATACCTACACTGCTAGATTTGGTGTCTAATGAAGTTCCGGGACATTTGCATACAGTTCATGTAGATCAGGACCACAACGTACAGAAGCAAGACATTATTCTGCAGGCACAGCCAGAAAGTGCAATCCCCAGTTTGATCACCACAAGAGCTCAGAGTGCAAATGACCCGTTAAAAGAGCTACCTTTCTATGATGAAGAATTAGAAGTAAGCCCAGCAAAACCAGCTAAATCTCGAGCGCAAAGACGAAGAGAAAAATTTAGGGGTTCATCCAGGTTAGAGGGTGTAGACCAGAGCCCCAACCTCCCTCTGGAACTTGATATCCCACCAGATATCTCTTCACTTCAACGGGCAGATCCATCATTAAAATCCTGGTTTGATAAGGTGTCGGAGGTTGATGGACAGGTGCGAGGGACAGTAGATGTGTTGGCAGATGCAACCTATGTGTTGAGAAATGGTGTCCTTTATGAGTGTAAAGGCAAGACTGAAGCCATAGCATTACCACAGGCACTAAGAAACAAAGTCATGGAACTTGGTCATTCTGTACCTTGGGCAGGCCATCTTGGTTTTCAGAAATCTCTACATAGGATTGCAAGCCGTTTTGTCTGGCCTGGCATGTACACTCAACTACAGCAGTTTTGTAAGTCGTGTCAGATATGTCAGCTCACCCTAAATAAAGGAGTGGCCCGTGCCCATCTTCAGCCATTGCCTGTCATAGATACACCTTTCGAAAGAATAGGAATGGATGTAGTGGGGCCCCTTGAAAGAAGCTCATCAGGTAATCGTTACATCTTGGTCATTTGTGATTATGCCACTCGTTATCCTGAGGCTTTCCCCCTAAGATCAGTGAAAGCGAGACAGGTTGCCAATTGTCTCCTGCAGTTGTTTTCTAGAGTAGGTATAGCTAAAGAGGTCCTGACAGACTGTGGCACAAATTTCCAGTCTAAATTCCTACAGCAGGTATATAGATTACTTGGTATAAAAGGTATTAAAACCACCCCTTACCACCCCCAGTCAGATGGACTAGTAGAGCGTTTTAACCAGACACTAAAGAACATGCTGCGCAAATTTGTAACAGAGACTGGCTCAGACTGGGATCAGTGGCTGCCTTACTTGTTGTTTACCTATCGCGAAGTGCCACAGGCCTCTACAGGATTTTCACCATTTGAACTGCTTTATGGCCGTCAAGTGAGAGGTCCACTCGACCTGCTGAAAGAACAATGGGAGAATCCAGAGCCTGATGGAGATAATGTAATAGCTTATGTGCTGAAAATGAGAGAGAGACTAGAACAAATGACAATACTGGCACAGCAAAACATGAAAGTGGCTCAAAACAAGCAGAAAACCTGGTATGATAAGAAGGCCAGGGAAAGGACATTCCAACCAGGACAGCATGTGTTGCTGTTGCTTCCTACGACAGACAGCAAACTGCTAGCCAGGTGGCAAGGCCCCTACAAAATTACAAAACGTCTTGGCAATGTTAACTATGAGCTGTACATGCCTGACAGGAGGAAGAAACATCAGGTCTTCCATATTAACCTGTTAAAAGAATTCACGCAGCAGCAGCAGCAGCAGCAACCCATCACGCAGCAGCAGCAATTGCCAATGCAGTCCACGCAGCAGGTAAAACAGCATTGTCTTGTTCGGGTAGTCAAGGACGAAGAGGAGGGAGAACAGTTTTTTCCCACAGGCAAATCAGGGCCAAGTTTAGTGTCACTGGCCCATCTTAAGCCCTCCCAGCAGGGAGATTTAAGGGCTCTTCTGGATCCAAATTTGTTCCAGGAAAAACCTGGTTTTACAAAACTGGTACAACACAAAGTCCACTTGAGGGATAATGCTCCACCCCGTAGAAAATTCTATAGGATTCCTGAACGCCTGGTTTCACAGCTGAAGAAAGAAATGACCTAATGTTGTCACTTGGGATAATTGAAACATCAGCGAGTGAATGGTGCAGCCCAATTGTTCTGGTCCCGAAAAAGGATGGAACATTGAGGTTTTGCATTGACTTGAGATATCTCAACTCTGTCTCAAAGTTTGACCCCTATCCAATGCCTCGTATTGATGAGCTCTTGGAAAGGGTGGGGAGAAGTAAGTTCATTACCACTCTTGACCTAAGCAAGGGCTACTGGCAGGTGGCCCTAGCTCCAGAGGCAAAGGAACTGACGGCCTTCAAAACCCCGTTTGGGCTGTTTCAGTTCAGGGTGATGCCGTTTGGTCTCCAAGGGGCACCAGCAACGTTTCAGCGGCTGATGGACCAGGTCTTGAGGGATGTGTCAGACTTTGCTGCAGCATACCTAGATGATGTTGTGATATTTAGTCAGACCTGGGAGCAGCATGTGGCTCACCTGCGACGCGTTCTATAATCAAATCTGCTGGTCTTACTATCAATCCTCACAAGTGTAAGATCGCACAGAGGCAGGTGGAGTACCTTGGATATGTGGTTGGACATGGACAGGTGAAGCCTCAGGTGGGGAAAATGGAGGCAATCCATGCATATCCAGTTCCTACAACCAAGAAGAAGGTGCGGGCATTTATAGGCTTAGTGGGCTGGTACAGTAAATTCATCCCCCACTTTGCAGAGAGGGCAGCACCTCTCACGGATTTGACAAAAGCGTCGGCGCCGAATAAGGTCAAGTGGACAAAAGACTGTGACAGAGCTTTCATTGACCTTAAGTCAGCCATCACAAGTGATTCTGTTCTACACAGCCCGGATTTTGCTCAGCCTTTCACACTGCAGACAGATGCTTCTGGAGTAGGCTTGGGAGCCGTGCTGCTGCAGGAGGTGGAGGGAGTGAGGCGCCCGGTTGTTTTCCTCAGCAGAAAGCTTCAGGACAGAGAGTCTAGATACTCCACCGTGGAAAAGGAGTGTCTTGCTATGAAGTGGGCGGTGGAGTCACTGAGGTACTATCTTCTAGGCAGACATTTCACCCTGGAGACAGACCACCGTGCCCTTCAGTGGCTGCACAAGATGAAGGAGACCAACATGCGTGTTGCGAGATGGTATTTGTCATTGCAACCCTATGATTTCACAGTGCGGTATCGTCCAGGCAAATCTAACTGTGTTGCAGACTGTCTTTCACGTATGTATGAAGATTGAAGTACAGTAGTCTAAGGAGAAGGGGGGAGGAAATGTAATGGAGACCAGGGGTTCCATTACCTGGTTGGTATTGTTAATAATAAATTGTTGGATTGGGAATTTAAAATGCGGTAATAAAGAAAACACATTAGATCTTTTGGAGTCTTTTATTAGGTTATTTGATATACAATTAAATTGACAGCTTGTAACAGAAAAGAGACAGTGGGACTGGCCATCCTACCTGTGTCGGAGAAGAGCCAAAGTTAGAGCTGTTTGCAGTTAATCATTTATCAATAACCTAAACATATGTGAAATGAGAACTTGTAAAGGTACTCACCTGTCCTGGTTGCTTCTTGCAGGATGTGGAGCAAAAGAGTGAAAGCGGCTCAATCACCTGTTTAAGAGCTCTTGGAGCAGACCAGTGTGCCGGGTTAGGGAGTATGGTTAAAGAGGGTTTTAATTTAGATAGAAATGAGTGAAGCTTATGTCATTGGTTTGTTTATAGTATGTGTTGGAAATATGTATATGTTTGTGATGTGCTTTAATGTTATTGTATGTTTGTTTGTGTGGAGGGTTATGTGTTCATTTTGATTAGTTAACCCCCATACTTGGGCTATTCCAGATGCTCACCTGAAAAGGTAGAGTATAAAAGGAAGCCATTTTGTTTAGTTGTAGTTAGTGTTTTGTGCTGTTATCATGCTCCTTCTTTAATAAAGTGCCAATCCATGGATGTCTTTTACTCCAGTCTCGCGTCATATTATTGGACAGAACCTATGACCGCCGGCCAAAACTGACAGAATGTAATAAATATCAAGGGAAAAAACATTTTTGATCAAAACTTTATTTTGTTTGTCCCCCCCAAAAAAACGTATTCAGGAACATTGTACATGTATCCAAGGTGGTTAGGGAACCTGACAAGTATGCGAGGTGTTCCGGGCATGTCCCATCGGGAAGAGGTACACATTCTGACCTCATTCCTCTCCACTCCAGCGTGACTAAAAACAGCTCCATCATCACCCCATGTTGACCCACCTGCCTGGCTCTGCCCCTTGAGCTCATTGCACCAACCCTTCCCTGCAGCTGAGCCAGGGACCACACCGTCGCCACAGATATGGAAATGAAAGTTACAGGAACTCAGACCTCGGAAACTTACGTAAAGTGAGTGTAGTGCATACACGCCTCAGTACAGTATGTGTACAGCAGGTGGCCCAGAACCTTTATCCACAAAGTGTATTTTAATCATTCCTTTTCTCATGCCACCCCTCTCTGCCTAATTTCATGAAATCTGTCTGAGTCTTGCTAAGGTAGTGGGGAAGTGGCTTTGACTTTAACATGGGTAAAAAGACATTCAAACAGTTTTAGGAAAACAATTAATCTTTTATGCTTTTAGCCACCACAGCTCAATAAGGTTCTTTGAACTCCTTTTAGGTGTCAAAAAGCAAAAGATCATTGATTCATTAATGCTTGTTTTGGAAGATGAGTGCAAAGGAAGCTCTCACTGAAAACAGAGAACCAGACAGGAAGCCCAGCGAGAGTATCCCAGATGGATGTTTATTATTCTGACACTACAGTTTAGGTGTGCAACTGCAAAACAATACATGAGTCAGTGTGGGAATCCAGTGCTGTGTCATACCACTGCTTCAACAATACAGTAGAAATTGAAAACATTCCAGCAGAAAAAAAAGTAGAAAAGCTTTTCTAGTGGGCCCCATTTATTAAAAGGATCCAAAGTTTGAGCTAAAGGTGAGATTGATGAAAAATTAATTCAGGTGAAAAAAGTCTGCAGGTTGTGTAGATAAGTGAAAAGATAAAAAAAACAATTCTATCACTCTCTGAGAAATGACTTCCATTTCTTTTTGAGTCATCTCAGACGCACTATGCAGAATCAAATACAAACCAAAGGATAATTTTAATAAATGAGGCCCCTCTGTCCTGCCCGCCCATCCCAAGATTGGCGCGTTTGTGGTTTGTCAGTCAGTTGGCACGACAAAGAAGACGTTGCTTCATCAACATGCTTATGGGAGCAGTTGCAGTTATGTGAGTGGGGATCATTGAGAAGGGAGAGAGAATGGAGGATCAGAAGGGTGAAGGTGGAGGAGACCCAAAATGACAAAACATAAATAAATAAATAATAAAACTAAAAAACCAAGGTGCTCATAGGAAAAGGAAGTGAGACAGAGCAGGACTTCTTACCAGGTTCAAGGCAAAAGATACAGCAAAGGGACGCTTCCAAAAAGTAGAGAAAAGCAAAATATTTTTTTCAGAAATCAAAAGAAAAGAAGAGAAAAGGGAAAAACTTCCATCCCTACTCCAGAAGAAATTCTCAGAGCACAGAGAAGGGACAGTATTTGGAGTGGGAGTGGGGTTGGAGGGGGGTTTGTACATTCAAGCGGCAAAGCCGAAAAATCCTGTGCTGAAAGGTGTGTGTGTGTAGGTGTGTGTGTGTCTGTGTGTATATAGGCCTCAGATCACAGAGTTGCCCTTCACTCGCTTGTCAAATTAATAAAGCCGAGGACGAGGACGCTGCTGTTTCTCCTCAGACAAGCCGTAAAGTTTCAGGTAAATTCGCTGACAGGAAAGCTCTCAAACTCGATCCAGTGCTGCAAGTTCTCCTGTGAGCCCCCTGTCCTGCACCTCATCATGTACTGCAACTACTCAGGGGATGATTTTTATGTCTGAGGACAGAATAGCAGTATTGCTAATGCAAAATTTAGGGTTACTTCTTCAAACTTATCTTACTTAGCACTTCCAAGGTGCTCACAGTCTTGTCTTAAGACTTGCTGCTGTGTGAAAAACAGACAACCAATTGGAAACCAATATTTTGAAGTTTGCATCCAGGCCAAGACTTCCTGTTCCGTCTGCTGATCATTGTTTGCATTGTTTACAAAATGCAAGTAAGTTTTTAAGAACTTGCAAAAAGCAAAACCATCATTAAATGGCAGCTGATGGTTTCTAAACTGCATTTAAGGTGCATTTAAGATGCAGCTCATCTTATGCTGTTGACTCCATGTTTACCTGCATAAAACCAGACTGTGCTCAGACCCTCAGTAGGTCTGTAGTACCTGGACTATAAGGAGACTATAAAAAGTCAATATGTGTCTGTTTATAGAGAACACATCGACCAATACATGATTTTTAATGAAAAATTACAAAAAGAAACCTTCATGGTGGATTGATCTGATTAGCACTTTTGCAGCGGTTTGGGTTGACACTCTGACCACTATGAATCACACATTCTCTTCTTGGTAAAGCTAAATTTTAATGACACTGTTTATTTTAATTTGAACTCCATTTGGAACGAGTACAAACATGACTGTGGAGGCCGTTTCAGTACAATGAACTCACTGTTGCGTTCACCAGAGCAGTTTGAGATCATCTTCAATTTTTTTTTAGCTTTGTCACATAGCCCGTTATCCTGCAGCCGTCAGGAGATGGCTACACTGATCATAAAGGGATGGACACAGTCAGCAACAACACAGGTAGGGTGTTGACATTAACATGATGCTATATTCATACTAAAGGGCCCAAAATGTGCAAAGAAAATACCCCCTACATCCTTCCACCACCACTATTAGCCTGAAATATTCATACAAGGTAGGATGAATCCATGCTTACACCTACTCCAAGGTTCAATGTGTTGTCCATTCAGAGATGTTTATCAGCATACCTGGGTTGTAACAAGTGATTATTACTGTTGCCTTTCTATCAGCTCGATGTAGCTTGGCCATTTTTCTCTCATCAGCAAACCCTAGTAATGGCTATGTGGGAAACTTTCAGTAGATCAGCAGTTTCTGAAAGCCTCAGACCTGCGCGTCTAGCACCAACAAACACGTCACTATCAAACTCACTTAAACCACCTTTCTTTCTTATTCTGATGCTCACTTTGAGCTTCAGATGGTCGCCTTGACCATCCCTATGTGCCCACATTCATTGAGGAGCCGCCATGTGTTTGGCTGATTAGATATTTTGTTAATAAGCAGTTGAACAAGTGTATCTAAAAAAGTGGCATTTAAGTGTTTATAAAATACATTCTTTAACCCCTCGCATTGAAAAGCAATGCTACTTAGCGACAGCAAGAGATCCTGAACAAGTCAGTTATAAATGAAACCAAGCTGTTTATTTGGGGTATGAATAATGTGGGTTTTTTTTAAATAAAAATACACATTTTAGTTCCATGTTTGATACATTGTACTCTTTGCTTAATGGATATTTATTCTAACACATATTTTATTGCACTGAATAATTTTAAGAAGACATTTTTGAATCGATTATAGGTGATGTTCTGGGTGAGAAGTTAACCCTAACGTGATACTTTTAGGTTAAGGAAGTACTCTAATTCTTTTTTTTTATAGCACGTGCTGTATTTGTCTGTGAGGAAAATCTTTCCGTCAGGTAGAGAAAAACAGCATATGATATACTCCAAACACGAGTATGTGACATTGATCTCATGTCTTTTTGTGAAAACATATTAGACTCCTCCATAGCCACAAATGTAAAGAAATGATCCCTTTCTAAGGAGTTTGTCTTGTCTTGTGTTGTGGCTTTATTTTTGTTATAAATTCTAATATGATAACATCCGACAAAACACGTCTTTCAAATTCTCCCTAGACTTAAGAAGAGAAAAAGTCTGGGATGTTTGGTACTTTCTGAGAGCTATTAAGTAATTAATTTTACTGCTGCACTCACTCCTCCTCCTGCTGTGTCAGTAAGTGATTTCCTAGTTTCCCAAAAAGCTTTTAACATTTCCATAGAAGAGTCTTTGTTGGTAGCTGAGCGTGTGGTGGGGGTAAAGCCACAGTGAGTCATGCCCAGTTGGTCAAACTACAAAACCCTTTCACACACTACCATCTGCTTACCATCTAAATAAGCTTGTTTGGTAGGTCTCACCGTGCACAGTGCAACGTGTGAACAAAACCAGATCTTAAACTGAATTTCACAGCTTCAGTTGGAGAACTTTGAATATACGCAAGCCAATATGTGGAATGTAGCATTTAGCTTGAGAGTTTTGATGTTTTCAAGATCTCTTGTCCAAAGCTGAAGCAAGAGATCAATGTGAAACTCCCCTGATGGATATACTTTGAATAATTACTATAATATCTCGCTTTGCGTGATATTGACTCCAACTGTTAAGTGACGTGAAGCACACTGGCATGTTTTGCACTACACACATACATTGGTAGCCATCACTGAAGATGATTTCTGCAACAATCACTGGAGCCAAGTTGACTGAAAATGCTGCTGCGTTTCCCCTGAGCAAGGCACTTGCTGCTGATTCCAGCAGGGGATCTGCTTAGCGGCCTGAAGCACAGAGTATATGGCCCGCCGTGGCAAGTGACCAAGTGTGAGTGTAAAAAAAGATGTTGGTAGAGGGAATGGGCCTGTGCTGACAGGATGAATTTCCAATTTAAATTAAATGTTGTCATTTGCATAACTGCAGCCATTAAAACTGTATTCTTTCCAAATTGAACAACCTGATTAGCATGTCGTGACAGAAATCTAATGTCTAACTCGGACTACTGTGATTTTATGCCAATTAGCATCATAAAGTTATAATTTCTCATTATTTTTCTGCCTGTAGAGAACAGAGAGAAATGAATTTGAATGAGCCTTCACACCTATAATCACGAGAAATGGCAGGAACATTCAGAATAAATGCTTCGTTTTTGCTGCACCAAAGATGACAATTGTTTTGGTGAAGTTTCACCAGAATAAAAATCAAGAGTTGTAACTGGGCTCATTAAAATTATAGCAAAACATCCCTTAATTTGTTATTTTTCAAGCATGGGCGTCAGTCAAGATCAGACAGCACAATATATGTCTTTTGAAATGGTCACTATATCAGTTTGTGTAGTCATGATGGTTTAAATTTCTGCTGTGAATCCTAACGGCACGCAAAGGGGGCAGAGATGAGGTGTGAGAACAGAAAGAAGACATGGTGCCGATAGCACCACTGAAAGGCATCTAGGTTCTGATTTGTTAGAATTCTATTGGTCACTTCTACTTTACAAATCAAGCAGTGTACATTCATCCATAGAGTAACAATTGATTACATTTCACCACTTTCTAGACTACATGTTTTATGTCGACAATGGAGGGCGATCGCTTTGGAACTTGCATGTATCTCCTTGGTGTTGCCTAAGCTACTAATTTGTCTTGTCTGTAGATTTCCTGGATCAGCAGTGTGACATTCTGACAGTCAATCAAGTTCAATATGATGCATTAGTCTGGTTAATGTGAATCCAAAGAGGTAAGACTTGTTCCTAACAGCCTCCTGGAAGACATCTTTAGGGTTTGTACTCCTATTTGTTCACATGGGAGATGATAGAGATTATCTATGCTTATCAGAAGCTCAGCAAAGATGTAAAGCGAGGCTAAATATTGAGAGGATTGATTTTAATATGATATAGAAATAATTGCATGCAGGTTCCCTCTAAGGACTGATTTAGCCTTCAGCAGCAGGAAATCTACAAGAGAACTTGTATGATAGGCATGAATCCCTTTTAACCCTATTTCTAAGCTTGGGTCAACAAAGCCTGGATTGACTGAATGGCTTGGAAGGTTATGGCATAGGGTTAAAAAGTGTTTCTTTTTATGTCATTAGATTTCTTGCAGAAGCAGTTTCCACACCCATCCACTCTTTTGACAAAAACCTATAATGGAGTATCTCTTTTTTTTGTCCTGTCACCCTCCCTTCACTCCCAACTGGTCGCAGCAGATGGCTGTCGCTCCCTGGGCAGAGGAAGCAACATCCAGAGGTTTCTTCCTGCTTAAAAGGGAGTTTTTCCTTCCTACTGTCGCCAAGTGCTTGTTAGAAGATACTTTGCAGCAGCATCAAAACAGGTTCTTGTGTTTAAACCAAACCATTCACTGTGCAGAGGACAAACTGCAAAATCCTCAGTTTTGAATATAATTCTTTACTTTTTGGCATATTTACTACTGTTAACTATTTAACTTACTATTCATTCAGCTATTCATTTGATATAACCACCAGAAAATAATTAAATGTTTATAAAACTTTCATGATGGCTACTGTACATTTGTGTTCTTATCATTGTCTTATTAAATATGATTCTGAGAGTGTGTGTGTGTTTTTTCAGGGAATGAGCGCTGGTAGGAGGAGGGACATTGTCCAATTCACAGAGGACCTGAAAAGACTGTGACTTCTGACAAACCAACTGATCTGGCTTGTGTGAAGAAAAGGTCTTTGCGAGCCTTCAGGGTTCACACCACGAGACGCCTTCACACTGCATGTGTATGCATGAAGCAAATGTGTCACTTCTCACACGTGTATTTGTAAGCACTGCGGAGCATAAAACTGCTCCTTCACATGCAGATTTTTTACAAAAAATTATATCATAGAAAGTACACTATTCCATTTTTATGACTTGCTAGCTTTGAGGCAAAGCTGTTGCTGCTTAATGGAATTCAGAGCAGGCTTCAGAGAGACGCTAGCTGGTTAAGACTGCCGTGTTTGTTGCTGGGGCCGTGGGATTACATGTCACTGTGCTGAGTGGACTTTTGCGTGAACTGTGTTATTTCCCCAAAGCCTTCTTGTCACCCCAACTTTACCCAAAAGTGCATTCTGCCATCCCTGATTCATGCAGAGGAATGGAACAAAAAACCCCAAAGAAAACTAAACAAAAAACATCATTCATCAACGAGATTACAAAGGTACAATATTCTGGCAGCGTACCCGAGTGATGCATAGACACAAGGAGGGCTCAAACAAAACAAGCATTTTTCAGGGTTTACATATCAAACTGAGGCCAAGGGCATTTCTGTAATCAAAAATAGAAATCAATGATCATTATTATTATTGTTATTATATATATATATATTAGAAAAACATATCAGAAATTTCCCTCCCTGTTTTAACAGATGCTGATCCTCACATCCTCACATCTCTGTGGCGTGAGGACAGAATCACACATCTGCTTCATCTGACAGGCAAAAGAAATGAAACAAAACCTCTGTCCCCTTATAACTTCTCTATGTATAAATAATCCATGCACAATCCATCTGCCTGTAAACCCTTTGAGATATTCAATGTTTATAGTGCTACTAGTATGCAAACCCTGAATGTCCACATAGTAAATTCATCAATGAAAAATATTTATATGTACAGTGTAGCTCAATAAAATGTCTCTTTGAATCTTATTTGCATGCAGTCAACTGCATAATATACAGGCAATAAGTACGTTTAGTAGTTGTTTCTTTGGCAGGCCAGAATCCAGCTGGACATGCATAGAGAGGTATGTACAATCAAAAAGAAAACAGAGTCCGGGTGACTGGAGAGTAAAGACTCTCACATCACCTGGAGACAAAAAAAATCAGTGTGCAAACAAGAAGCCAGTTTTTTTTTTTTTCAATTTGGAATTGAGACCAGCGGTGTACGAGAGTCCAAGAGGATGCCCAAAAATGAGAGTAACCTTGAATTGATAGAGCTAATGTTAATATAATCTCTGTTAGTCCAGTGCGCACTCTGCACCGCTGGTTCAGCTCTCTTCAGAGCCCGTCGTCTTTCTCTGAGTCTGGAGAAACGGGCCTGGAGACGGTGAAAATGTCTTGCCGTTGTATTTTGGTTTTGGGCGTGGCAGAGGCAGGTGGCGCCCCCGTGGACGGCTGTCTCTTATCCGACAGCAGTTTGATAATTTCAGCTACCTGACTCTCCAGGGCGCCCAGACGGCCTCCCAGAGTCTGGATGTCCCCCCGGAGCTCCATCCGGGTCTCGTGCAATGCAGCCTGCAGGGCCTGTTCCGGTATGGGGCAGAAAGAGTGAGGGGACCCCACTCCTCCGGGAAGAGGGCTGTGGAGAAGTGGGGTAACTGCCGCTGGGGTCCGCGGCTCCCCTGCCCGGTCGATGCGCAGCTCGCTCTTAGTGATTCCACTGTCACAGGAGTCCGTCTTGCGAAGTGGGTTGTTGCTGGAGACCCCACCTTCCTCTACATCCCTGCTCCCCCCTGTTTCCCGACCTTTACCGTCCTGAGAGAGCATCTCCACGGAAACAGCCTTGACATTGTTGTTAAGACCCTCCTTCCTCGTCTCCGCCGGAGCCATGTTGTTTTTGAGGCGCATCCAGCCACTCGCCTTGGCGGCCGGCTTTCCAAGCGCAGGGCTGGTGCTGACTTTGAGCCTGACAGTTTGCTCGCTGCCCCCTCCAGCAGAACTGGGCTGCAGCTCCATGATGTCACAGTTGTTCTGCTTTGCAGGTGCCTCGCTGGGATGGCCGTAAGCCAGAGAGCTCTGCATGGGTGTGACCTGAGACACAGTCAGAACGCTGCTGCTGGGTGGAGCCCCGTTCTGCATGGAGGTGAGGGGCCGCTGCAGGGTGAGCGGCAGGGAGTGCTGCAGACTGGAGTGGCCGAGCTGCAGGGTGTGGGGATGCAGGTGCTGGTGGTGCTCCACCTGCAGCTGGTTCTTCTCCAGGTCTAGTTGCGAGGCAGCTGCGGCTCCTTGGTTGCGGAGCTCCTTCTGCTGCTTGAACTTCTGGAAAAGCTTGCGGACAGGATGGTCCTGTGGGATGGTGAGCTGTACCTCGTTCTTCGCTCGCTGTCTCTCCTCCTCCTCCTTCTTCACCTCACTGATCTTGCGGAAAATTATCTGCGGGAGAGGAGGGATACACATAAATAAGCAAAATGCAGCTTATCAGCAAACATCATTTCATATGAATGCTATGAATAGTAATTCTGTCTCCGGTGCGCCCCGATGAGCATTGCACATAATTCATCAGAGATAAAAGCATTTTTCTACAACAAGAAGTAAACAAAGATTTATTATTGTTATGGAAATCTGACTGTCTGTTTTAACATTTTTCACTTAAGAACACATGACACATTCTTTCTGCAGTGCACTCAGGTACTGCAAAATGTAGCTGACTCCTGGACAGTCATGTTAAATTATCCATCAGTGCTCCTACACCTCGCCTGTATTATTCAGCCTGGCGCCAGGCTCTCTTCTGGCTCCTCTTACACCCTAATTACATTGGAAATGACAGAAATCCCTGCCAGGCAGTCAGCCAGCCATCCAACTGGTAATTTAAGTGTTATTTTTGGTTAAAATAACGGTGCCCAATGGATGGGGAGCCGAGTCGATGTTTGACTTAAAGATGGAAGCGAGGGGAAATCGCTCACTTCGCTGCCCAGCCATAATTGACCCAACTGACCACATCTAGCACATCTCCTAAACTCCTTCCATTCATCCACCCATACTTCCTGCTCGTCCAACCTGCTGCCGAGAGCTGCTGAGCCAACCCAAGCTAGAAGCTGCTCTGAGCTAGAAGAGAATCTGTGGTGGGAGTGGGGAATGCCTTACGTGTCACTTCATATCTCCATGTCTACCTGGAGGCATAAGCTGAAAGATTAGCACTTTTAATTAAATGAATTTTTGGCAAGAAGAGTACGATTTGATAAAAAGTAAATGAGAAGCTATCACTGGTGGGCTTTGTTCTCTTACTCATTACCTTCTGACAAAAACAATGAGTCCACTGTTGCTGAATACAAATCAGGAGAATCTCTGTCACAGCTGAGCTGATGATACATGATGTGATCGGATCAAACATGATGAACCGTCATTGCTTCATATCAACTAAAGCAGTAAATGTTCCTTCCTATTATCATGATATGCATTGCAGATGTTATACAAAGTGCATCTAAACAGTGTGATTAAAGTGCGTCATCTGGTAAAGTGAAAGGGATACTGAGTGTCAGCTGAAATTAGATTAAATGTCAGCAGAAGTGAAAGTGCTGAAAGGAATTAGTGTCAGATAACTGTCAAGTAAAACAGAGGTTTCTTTCATCACAGTCCAAACTAACTCCCCCAGAAGAAATATCTGGAACAAATATATTTTTGCCTTTTGTTTGTGTAGATGAAATGTTTCACTGACGCTTCTGCCTGTTCAGTCAATTTACCGATTGAAAATGCTGGCCACAGGGACAATCTCAGCCAATCCTCTTAGAAAACTTCACATAGAGCTTAGTACTAGAGTTGCTTTAGTGCACCTGCAGTGGCTACTACCTGCAAGCCCCTTTGCAATCCATCTTGGCCCCAACTCCTCCTTTTAATGAAGTTTTTAACTGTCTTGCTGCTGGTCCTAGAACAATGCCACCAAATTAAAAAGAATTAAATGAATGATAAATAGACTGGCTCTTATTATGCTTTTCAACTCGAGCAACTCATGGTTTAATCTTGCCCAAGGACACTTTGGTATGTAGACTGAAGCAGCCAGGAAACAAACCACCAACCCTCCAATTAGTAAATGACCCACTCCACCCTTAGTGGTTATTTACAAGCTTAAATAACCACTGATTGCTGATTGCTCACTGATTTTCCTGACTGAAATCACATTTTTGATTGGTTAACTGTTAAATTACAGTCTTCTGGTTTAGAAGCTTTGTCACATGTCACTTTTCGCGCATCCAAATAAGCTGTCAGTGCCCAGCATTAAGCTAAATCTGATTAGGTCTAGAGCAGTTTTTAAATTCTTTTAAATTCCATTTTACTGGTAATAGGGGCTGAAACTGGTAAGTGGGCAGCTCAGCTACCTGCTCTTAAGAAAGAGTGACATAAACATGACAAAACCTTGGAGAATAGCTGACAGCTGCCCACAGCAACCTTATAATGATTTCCAATATTTTCACACATATACTCTCAATGTTCTTCTGTGCTGAAGTACCATAAAATTTCAACACTGACTAGATCAGCGCTGAGCAAATGTTTTGTGTATGCTGACAAAATGATCTCTCTTCAAGGTTCACTTACTTATTCTTCATTAAATCAAGCACAGCACTAGCACTGTTCAAGGTGAAATCAGCCACCATCCCGAGAGATCAGCTGATCTGAGTACTATCCCGCTTCAGGCATCCAACAGGAAAATCCCTAACACCGCAGGTTATTTAAGCTGCAATCCAACGCCTTGTTAATAATGTCTGCTCTGTTCAGTGTTGGGGTCTTGCTGCTGCTCTGGGTGGGGAGGTCACATAACAGACAGTGCTGACGAAAATAACAATCCTTTTGACTGCAGTGGCCCAAGCTGAACCACAGCTTCTTTAGTTACAGCGACAGCATCTGTTCCATTATGTCAGGGTCTTTTTCACAATAATAATAATCTTATAGTGTTTTTTTTCCCTTCAAGTTCTCCGTGTTTCAGTTTCTGTTTCATTTTGTCATTAATATTTAATCTTTGCACACTCTTGTTGCTGACTATCGACCCTGAGGCAGGGATGCTCACTTCACCAAGAATTTCCGGTCTAATTATACAAGTGGTTCCTAAACTCACGGCGTCTTTTCAACCAATCAATCAGCCAACTCTTGATTTGAACTATATTGTTGTAGGGTCTTTACCTTACAATGTAAAATGCCTTGAGGCAGTTGTTGTGGATTTCTGCTTGACTAGTTATACCCGAGACTCAAAACTGACTCAAACTTATCAGCTGGTTATTGCCAACATATGGATCACACAAACTAACTCTCTGCTGTCACTTTAGGGATGAACTACTGAACTTTGAGTACTGACAGGACTCTGGTTACTGGTTTCTTGGAAGAAGACATGACAAAGATAATATTGATAATAGTTTGTGGTTAAATACAAAGTGTCGGGTAACCAGTGTTGGGTGTAACGCATTACATGTAATGCATTACTCTAATTGCATTACATTTTTCAGTAACAGTGAAGTAATGGATTACTATTAAATTCAGTCATTTAAATCTTTTTTTAATTCATTTTTAATTATGTTGTTACTTGTGTTACAAAGGTTATCCAGTTATTTGGCCGAGGAATAAAAAATAAAAGCAAAACATCAAACAAACAGCCTTTTCCCCCTGTGTAAATGGGCTACAATCATTTGATTTCAGTTTGTGTGCAGGGCTACAGCTTTTGAGGAGTAGAGATATGCACATTACTTGTATTTTTATAGCACAGAAGGACAAGAGCTTAATAGTAAAGTGGAAACTGCATCCAAGACAGAAACAAATGGATTTTACTGATAAGAGAACATTTGCACAGACAGCATGCTAACGCAACGCTAGCCAAGAACACAGAGGGATTTTAAAGCTGAGTGTATGCCGACCCCCAACCCAGCAGGCAGATTCTGAACTTAAAACAGGTATCAAAAGTAGTGATGAGTCATTTGTGTTTGGAGTATGAAACAGTGTGACGATCCTATCTCTTTGGGCTGATTTTCAACTGATTTTCAACTTTGCTTTAACTAAACTAAAACAAAGACTAGTTATGTTCTCATTAGAATTGGGATTCAGATTACAGTCCCACAGACTAACACGAGGTTTGTATTGTTAACTGATAATTATGAAACGGTGTGTTTCGGCTCATTTTAAGGACTAATGAGAAAGTAATATAATGAGTAGTGTAACAAATTACTTTCTCCAGTGAGTAATTAAGTAACATACTGCATTACGCTTAAGAAAAGTAATGATACATTGATTTTCTGGAGTAAAAATCCCAACACTAGTTTTAACATGTAGAAACATTAGATCTAAGTTCTTGTCTCTCCTTTTTGCATCTCACTTTTTTTCAAATCAGGAGGATTTAAATTTTTGTGTGAAGAGTTGGTTTTTAAATACCACATAAATGTCAAATACATTTTTTGTATGGCTCAGAAGTAGAGACAAATCCTCTTACGGTAAACATGTTTCAACTAAATGAAAAAAATGAGATCTATTGTGAAACCGCCAGATTATCTATAACAACTGAACCTGAACCTCATGAGTAGTATTATCTGTGTAGACTTTAGTTTTCCGATGTAAAATGCAGTTGTATTGCCAGATAAGAATACACAATGGAGAACAATGGGCTTTGTTTAGTGCCAACATTATTTTTGCAGTGAGTATGTTTAAACAATAGGTGCAATAACTAAGGCGTTGGCTAGCAGCCATGCTGCTACTTTTCTCAAATGAAAATAAAGTTGAAGATGCTAAACACATACCGTAATTTATGACGGTGTTACAGACCTGGTGTGAACTGTGGTTTTGCTTGTGGGGGTGTTTTGCTCACTATCCTGCTTTATGCTTAATTTATGGTACTGCAATTGTGCCAGTTTGCATATGCACTGGCCTACAGAGAGCCAGTGGAAAGAGGTTTTCAATCAATGCAAGCATGTGTAGTATGCTGAATGCTGATGACCTTCAGCTCTTTGTATGTTCTAACTTTGCTCTTCATCACAGCACAAGCAAGCGTACCCCACAGACATATTGTATTGCATATTTTTGACACTGCCCCCATCTGACAGCAGACGCGCTCTGCAGACAGACAAGCAGTCTGCAGCTGCCCACGCTGCCAATGCTCGACCACTTCTGAAGCCCTGTAGGTACCGCCCTGAGATTTCACTCGGTGATTAGGAAAGCGAGTACTTAAGGTCAGGGAGACGAATGCTCCGGGGCCAGAGTGACATTTTCTTGGCAGAGTTTGAGCTGTGTGTTTGTGGCATGGAGTAGGTGGAATGTGTTTTTGCTAACTTCTTGACTGATTTGTGTTTTGACCAATGTTCTTTTCCTAAAGTAATGATAACAGCTAGTCTGTCTCTTTTATTTTAAGTATTAATAACAAAAAGAAAAACCTGTTGAAAATGTCTGAGTTGAAAAAGAAACAT